AATATCCCCTTTCATCGGAGGCTCTCAGCTGAAACTGCCACGTTTTACCTTATTGTCAAAATCGCGGAGGTTTTGCCTGGTTTGCTGACCCACAGCCCCTCATCTCTGTTTGCTAGGCTAACCTCCCTGCCCAGAGCCGGGAAGTGAACCCAGGAGTTCTGATGCCCAGTCCCCTGCTCTGACTATACTGCTAGGCCAAACTCTCCACTGCCCCATAGGAACAGGATGATAGCTCAGGAATCCTGACTTCCAGCCCCCTTCTCTAACCACTAGACAACCCTTTCTTCCTTGTGTGGTGGTGCAGCATTCTTCATGAACTGTGGCACTAATGTGTTCTATATAATGCAAAAGACCGTGCCGGTAAAATTCTGCCTGAAGATTGACTCCGTGGGTGAAATAGGCGAATACAAGGCTTCCCTCTCTGGAGGAGATCAAGCTTCGCCTGTGAGGAAATGACTGTCACAGAATAGGCACCGATCTCCACTTTGCTTGTGCGTCCCATTGTGATCTGCCATTTGTGTAACAGCTGCTCATCTCTCAGGTCACAGCTGGATGGCGTAACCCCACCTTGTGCACCTGGTCTAATGGGGACAGAGAAATTTACAAGCCTTAACATACATTGAAAATGTGGGGGCTGGTACTCCTCTCATTTATGTTTGTGCAAATGTTTCATTGACTGCAGTAGAGTCATTCCTGATTTACACCAATGTGTACATGAGAAGAATCAGCCATGCCCAGGCCTGATTCTCTTCTCTGGCGTAAATCAGGAGCACAGTCCCCCTCCCTCAGCGACACTGACTCAGACAAGCTGCCCACTAAACCTGTTAGCTTATCCTCTTTTATGCCACTCTGATATTATCATCTCCAACATAAGCTTTTGCCTGGGTCCCGAATGATTTCCAATGTTTGAATGATTTGAACGGGCTCCGGAATTGTTATGGTTTCAACCTTGCTCTGCTCATGTGCTCAGCTGTTTGGACTCTTATCTGGGTACGTTGTCTGCATTGAAATTGCCCCAAATAAAACGAAAGGAATAAAGCTGTGGGTTGTTTTTATTTTAGCATCCTCTAACCTGATGATAATCCTGGCTGTAGCGCAGACGCGTGAAAATCCCAATTTGTGGGTGCTGGGCCGAGACAAACCTCCCAACTTGTTTTTTTGAGGTTTGTCCCTTGCTACTTTCTTTCCAGCTGGAAAATAGCTAAGCCTGGGCTGGATTTGTGCAGGGCCTGGGTCGGATTTAATGCACTCCTTTTATTTTCCCATGTGTTCAGTGGTAATATCACAGTGGAAACAATGGTACTGCTAATCCATCTTGCTAGCCGAGGTGAAAACCATCCTGGTAATCCACTGGTAACGACAAGTGTTTTGACTATGACATTGGCAGTGCAATGCTACTTGGGTTGGAGGAATATATATGTGTGTGTGTGTGTGTGTGTGTATATATATATATATTTTGCAAGGGGTTACATATGCAACAGATCTGAACAATCGGTGCAGCTTATCTTGTAAGCCCATATTTTGGCCCTTTAAAAAAAAAGAAAGTGCATTTTAAGCACAGTAGACAGTGATGGTTTCTTTGGAGCTGTTACGATCTGCCATGTACAATAAATCTGTTTTAGTTTGTGGATTACTGGCCCGCTAGACTGTAACCGCGCTGTCAGACCCTCCTGGCATGGTGTGTCCAGCTAGCTCTGCGTAGGTCTTTATTTTATTTTATTTTCACAGAAATTTCCTAAGGATTTTTTCCATGCAGTGTGTGTGTGTACAGCAGCTGATATGGAAATCTCAGTAGCTCAGCTGCTTTCTGGTTTTTTTTCCCCCCCTCTGAAAATACCCAAAGGCACAAGCCTACGTTAGGGAGTAAGAGCCTGAAAATGTTTCAGTGTAGAAGAACGGCCAGTTTTTGAGTCACGGGAAAGCAAACCTTTCTTAAAAATTAAAAATGTGTTCATTTAAAAATATATGTTTTTAGGGGGTCGTTTTCAAATACAACAGACGCTGCTTTCATGCAAGGCAAAAATATGTAGAGAGGAGAATTTGGCCCAGGCTGCTACAATTGTATGCAAAGTTTTCTGCCAGAGCAAATTGTTATGGTTGAGTTATAAACCCCTGAAAAACAGGATTTCTAAAGAAAGTGCTGATACAACTCCCCACGACGGCCACACAAGTGATCCCGCTGCTGTGTTATTCTCCGCTGTTGCCCGAGTGCCATATCGAGTGACACTGTGTGTGACAATTTCAACACACCCTTCCCCCTCCCACCCAGTTCCCATCAGACGGATGGTTTTAGAAGTTAAGAGCAAACTCATCCTTAAAGGGGAACTGACCCAATTTCTTCAGTAAGAGGGGCTAAAGCTGATTACAGTTAATCGATTGCTTTTGATGCACTGAAAATCCCATGTCCCAAACACAGACCCTCCCCCGCACCCTGCCCTCACGCCCTCCCCTCCTAGAAGAACAAATAAGCTTTGCGGCCTGACCTGAAAGTCTCCAAATTCCAGTTGTGTCAGGCCAAAGGGGTGAGGGAGAATGTCCCCAAGCTGAGCACACCCCCTCTGAACGTGCTCTCCCCCAGTCCTCCATCCTGCTGACACCCGGGGGCTGCTGGTGCAAGTGCCTCTGCTTCTGGCAGCTTCATGGTATCAGCTAAGGAGAGAGGCTGCCTCCACCTAGACAGGGCCTAAAGCAGGTACGGCTTTATAGAGAAAAGCCAACCCATTCCAAATCCCAGTGAAGTGAAGGGGAGTCGTTCCACTGGCTTCAGAAGCCCTGGAAGAATGCTTGTAGACATACATGTTAGTTAAAAGACATTTGAAAGGCCTTTTACCTGCTGAGACCTGAGTTCAGATCTTCAGGTTTCCCTGGCTGATCCCCGTACTGCAGCAGAGGCATCGCCAGGCCCCAGCGCACAAGGAAGGTGCGAAAAGGGCCCCGCAGTTGTAGCTGGTGTTACCCCTGTGTGACCCAAGCGGGTAGTCCAAGTTCGGACCCCTGGGGATGTCCCAGTTGGGAATAGAAATTGATGATGGAGCCAAGTGATTTCTTTGATGCAGCCTTGTTATTACAAGGCATGTCCTGCTTCTCCAAATCAAAACCAGGAGCCGTTTCTTAGCTCGCAGGCCCAACCTTGGTTCAGCCAGCACCCCTGATCCAGACATCTCTAGGCTTCTCCAGGGTTGCCCTGTGCTTGCAGGCTGCTGCTTGGCTTTCCAGTTCTGGCCCTGACTCTCCTGTGCCATGTCTCCTGCGCACACACTGACACCCCCTCTCTTACTTACCCAAACAGTACTCCACAAAACCCCTTCACCCACTCAGATCAAAACTCCTGCGTGTCTCCACACCCCTTTTGTCTGAGGTGGGGGCTTGTGCTGATCTCCTCCTGAGAGTTATGGTAATTGAAGGGTGTGTTCACACCCAGGCTCAAGGAGGTTATTGATGCAGGCACTCGACCTCTCAGCAAAGCCGCTGGGCAGACCAGACCGCCTGGTCAGGGAAGAGGGGCTGGTTTGAAGGTGCAGCTGGGCTGTGCACTGTGCCTCTAGGAATTCCGTCCTAGGGATCCATGCTTATTCTGGCAGCAACACTGACCCCGCATCACATGGTGGTTTGCTGTAGTGCCTGTGATACGCCGGGTACTTTCCAGACCAATGAGACTGGGCAGACCTTGCCCTACTGAGTTCAGTCTAAGGGCAGATGGACAGACACAGGCCAGGGATCAGAAATGTCGGAAGGGACTGTCCATACAAATCAACAAGGGGCATTGTAGGCAGCTCGGCAGAGGTGTGATTTGAGAGGGACTAAGAGGTGGGGAGGAGAGGACCCTGGGGTGGGCGTGGGCAGGAGAGGAAGAGCCTGGCCATTTTCCAGAAGCTCCGCCCGCCCTGCGCCCTCTGCCGGGATCCTGGGACGCTAGTATCAGTTGTCGTTTTTCTGAGCGTCCTTCCACGATGAATTGTCTCAGGCTAGGGGGGAGTTTAACCCAAGTATAGGGCGTGCAGGAGGACGTCTGTGCTGCAAGCCGCTTCCCTGCCCGCTCTGCCCTCCCTGCCACTGTCGGAGGGCAGCGGAGCTGGGCCAGCTATGTCGTGCTCTGGCCGTAGCCCTGTAACCCTTTGACAAAGGAGAGTACGTGTGTGTCCTTCCTCTCTGCTTGTTATCTCGGCCCTTCCGCTCTTTCCTCTCCTGATATCTGTTGCCCTTTCTGTTCCTTTTCTCCGCCTGCGGCTTTTCTCTCCCTTTCCTGTGTTTGCCCAGCGCTTGGCTGGGCGGCTGCACCCGCCCCATGCTGGCCTGTTTGTAACGTTCGTTGATGAGTCTCCTGCAGATTGCGAGTGAGCAGTTGGACCTGGCTGTGGGGGACTGGCAGGCCAGCCATGGGTCTCAGGAACAGGGCTAGAGAGCTGGCTACCTTGAGGGCACTGGTTCAGTTCCAACTCAGGTCAGAGGGGTCTGAATCAGGCTCCTGTGTGAAAGGAGCTGGTGGCTCCTTCCATCCCTTAGTGAGTGGGCGTCTGTGTCATTTAAAACCCACCCCATGATGACCATAACTCCCCATCTCACCCCCAGGGCAGCACTGAGGTGTATTGACAGCGCGGTGCTGGTGTTTGTGCTTATCCTGTGATAAGACAGAAGACTTTTTCCTGTAGGGCCATCTGCCCTGCAGCTTCCCCAGCACCAGACCAACCTGAGCAGGAGTCCAGAGACACAGGGCACTGCTGTGTTTCATTTCTGTGCATCTGCCAGGCACCTATTCTCTCTCCTTCGCAGACTCTGTTGCAATGGCTAAGCCCTTGCCTGTGACTACGGCAGGCCTAGGAGATTAAAGAGTCGCAGTCAGCAAAGCCCTGCGCGTCCTCAGCATGTGCCCACCACCCGCATCTCGATCACTGGCTTCTACTGAAGCAGCAACAGGAGGGTTCGGGGGGGGGGGGGCCTTTGGTGCTGTGGTCAGCCAGGCAGCCAGCGCAGGAAACGCTTTCATCTCTCCCCTGCTGCAGATGAATGCGTCCGGCTCAGTGTTGTCTGCAGTGCTCTGAATTCCAGCTGGGCCAGGCTGCCCATTCATCCAGCCGATGAGCTCACCCCACTCCGGCCTGCTGGTTAATCGTTGCACCGCCCCTTTGCCTGCGTGACGACTGCTCCCAAGGTCAGGGAGGGAGAGAGACGTGGAGGAAAGGGAAAATCATCAACATTTCATCTAGAAAGGGAGCCCGGCGCCAGGCCTAGGATTGCAGGGGCTTTGTGTGGAGAATGCCGCGTGGCTCACTAGGCAGGCTTCACAACCCTGTGCCGGGGTTGGGGTGCGCAGGGTTGGGGTGCTTGCCATTATGGGGAGGGCTGCAGCTGGCAGGGACAATGTGGGGTGGGTCATTTGTGACTGAGGGCTGTGGAGGCCAAGTCTCTCTTTCAGTGTGTGTGTGTGTGTGTGTGTGTGTAAGGGGGGGATCTCCGGCCGGAGGGGAAGGTCACAGGGGGTGCTGACAGAACAGGACCTGTCTCCCCCAGGCACCATGCTCTGAAGGCCTGCATGTTTGGCACACGCCCAGGCCCAGCTCTGAGCGCTCCACAGACCTCCGCCAAAGTGGCTGGAGCCCTGCCTGGTAAACCATAATACCAGTGAAACGTTGCGGGCCAGCTTTTATCTGGCCACTTGCACGCACAGATAATGGTGAGTGCACGTCCAGTTACGCACACCATTGTCCGTGCACTCTGTGAAACAGCCCTTGCATGAAGCTGTGGCTGTGTTTGGGGATTGTCGCTGTAAAGCCCCCACCCAACTAGCTCTTCAGAGCCCTTTTTTAGGCACTTGCAGCCGGTTAGCAGCTCAAGAGCCTTGTTCCCTGCATGAGAAAGTTGCATGGGTTTAGCTCAAGTGGGTTTTTAAGCTCGTTCAGTTGAACCGGTGCAGACCCCCATGTAGACACTCTGATTTGGGTTTAAGAGCGGCTTATTTCGGTTCATCTTAAACCGATTCCTAATTAACTGAAACAAGCCTGGTGTATTCTGAAATATGAGCACCCACCTAGAGGTTTGCATCAGTTTAACTAACTTGGTTTAAATTCACATCTTAAGATAAAGTGGTGCAACTATCTTGTGGAGATATATACCTGTAGGCCTTGTCCACACACAAAATGGTACTGGTTTAATTAAACTGGTTTAGTTAAACCAGGGCAGACCCCTGTAGACTCTAAATTATGGAGACTCTAAATTATATATAAGAATGGCTTATTTCAATTTAGCTTAAACCTGTTCTTAATTGACTTAAGCTAAACTGCAGTAAGCCACTCTTAAACCAAAGTAAGAGCATCTACATGGGGATTTGCGCTGGTTTAATGAAACTGGTTTGACTAACCCAGTTTAAATTCACAGCTTAAGTTAAACTGCTGCAATTCTCCATGCACACGAGCCCTGAGAACCCCTCTTGGGTTGTTCCACTAAGTTAGTTTGTTTTACTACTTCTCCTCTTATGAGGATGGTGATTTCTGTTACAGTGATTCCTGGAGGCCCGGTGTGCTAGTTGTCGTATGTTCACAGAGAACGAAACAGACCCTACCCTGCAGAGCTTACAATCTAAATAGACAAGACAGGCAAACAGTGGGAGAAAGGCAGGATGGTTATCCCCATTTTACAGATGGGAAGCTGAGGCACAGAGACCCTAAGGGTATGTCTACCCGGGGGCTGGAGGTGTAATTTCCAGCTTGGGTAGATCGAGCTAGCACACTAAAAATAGCAACAGAGCCACAGTGGTAGCCATGCTGAGTACGATCCCATGTAAACCCTAGCTCCTCCCATTGCTCATGCTGCCAAGGCTATCCAGCTGTTTTTAGCATGTTAGCTCGATCAGAGCTAGCACGGGTATGGCTACATCTTCCAGCTCCAGTGTGGACATACCATCAGGGTAAATCTTAGCTCCGTTGATGTCGAGGGAGTCTTGCCATTTCAGGATTTCACCTGAGGCTTCATCTACACACTATGAATGAGGGTGCCGTAAGCTGCCTTATGTCAACCTAGTTGTGGAAGTGTCTGCACTTAAATTTGGTTCCCGTCAACGTAAGTGCCTCTACGCCAGTTTAGTAACACCGCCTCCCCGAGCGGTGTAGAGTCACGGTGGATGTAATTAGGTCAACGCAGTGTTTACACTGCCTTACTTATATCAACTGTCCCTGGCTTTCAGGCACTGTCCCACAATGCCCCACACTGATAACACAATCGATACAAATGCTCCTGGTGAGGATGCACACTGCCAACACAAGGAGCCAAGTTTACATGCACACAAGTGATTTAGTAACTGTGGTGGCCATGTGCCAACGTAAGTTAAGTCGATATAATTTTATAGTGTAGCCAGTGTCAAGCCCAGAGTTACACAGGAAGTCTTTAGCAGCGCCAGGAGTTGAACCCAGCTGTCTTGAGTGGTTGGTCAGGGCTTTAACCGCAAGTCCATTCTACCCAATGAGCTGGTGAGGTTTGTGAGCCAGTGACTTTCATGGTTTGGCCTCCTTGGCTATGAAAACCATTGATTAAATGATGATTCAACAATTTAAATGTAGAAATAAAAAGGAGAAAACTATATCTTTGTTTTTCAAATTTCTTCTATAATTTAAGATCCCTTTTAAAAAAAAGCATTTCAGTTCACCTTTAAGGTCATACAAATCAGGGACTGGAAAGGAATACAGCTCAATGCGTAGCTACATTCAGATGGTGAGGTGTTCTAGCCCTGAGTCTTTGGGGGCTGCATATAATCAGGGCTTGGGGAGGTAGCTGGGTCAGTTCTCTCTCTAGGAGGGAGGCGGTAGGGGTAGCACAGCTCTTGGTGCATCGACTCCCTGTCCTTGCCCCATCGGTAGAACGGAAAACTCTGGAGTTTACGTTCAGTGGGTGCAGTGCCCTGGGGAGGTCAGCTGGATTCAGAGGCATGCAGGATTATTTTAAGTGCTGTCTTTAGTCTTTGCCACTGCTGCTGGGCCATTAAAGGAGGCTTTGTGTTGCACTGCATTCAGGGGGATTCGTGATGAAGGGATGGGTGGCTGAACTTGCCATGTTGGGCAAGTCAATCAGGAGTCACAGTTGCCCAGAGGAATATGTGCTGTACCATGGGCTGGCAAAGTCACCCAAGTTAGAGCCTTGGCAACGTAAGCATCCTAAGCCTAAAATGCTTTTGTTTGGGTCCTTAGCTCAGTCACGCAATAGGAGTGTCTTTCTCATGCCAGAGGTATTATCTACTTCATTTGAAATTCTAGCAGATCTGCTTGGGCCAAATCCTCTGATCAGCTACGTACTTGATGTGAGTGGAGCTTTCTTAAGTAATCAGGGGGAAAATTTGCCCCTGTGTCTCTTATCATCATATCTGCTTATTTGACTGACAAATGGTCCAATCCTGCATTCCTTGCGCGCCTGAAACGAAATCTCCTGTTAACTTCAGAGTCGGGTCCTGGTAGAGCTGATACAGGTACAGGAGCGCAAGCCTTGTGCAGCATCAGGAAAATCAGCAGCTAATTTCTGATAGGAGAATCTCTGTTATCAGTGGCAATGTATGGAACAGGAAGAACCCAACCAGATTTGCAGATCCCAGGTGCAGTCAGTCAATAAGAAGAATGATCGTATGACTTTTTAATAGGGCTGGCGTGATAGAAGAGGGACTCATAAGAATAGAGAAGCCCAGTATGTTATTCCATCACAATGGACGAGGCCTGTGAAGTGCTGAGTTATGCTGCACAAAACAATAAAACATTAGCAAAATATTTCAAGGTTGTTTCCATTTTGCAGGTTTCAAAAAGGACTCCTTTTACCCCATTCGTTTGGCAAAATGTTCTCAATGGAATCTTTATCAAAACAATTATGGTCATTCTTAACTCACCGAAAACCCACCGATAAAGAGTCACGAAAAATGTCCTGAAAATTTTCCAAAAAGTCAATGGTTCTTCGTGGCATTTTTTGTTTTCAAAAGGCCATTTGTTGACCAAAAAATAAAATAAAAATTCATTCTCTAAATTTTAACTGGCTCTGTTATTGGGGACCCTCAATCCCTATGGGATTCAGTCTGCTCAGCTTCTAACAGGATTGGGACTCACTGCTGTCCTTTCAAACCAGTTCCCAGGTGCGGGATGGACCAGCGCTCTGGAGGAAATGGACATGTAGAAGATGCCATCTTCCTTGATGATTTGCTCATTGCTAATTTGTTTATCTCCTATGATGCCCCCTGCCCCTCCACATCCTGCGCTACAGCTCATCCATACACAGGGATGCGCCTATCTCCGGGAAGCTGGAGAACAAAGGAATTGTCAGTCAAGGCTAGGTGTGAAAACTCCTACCCTCCCGTTTCCTCCTCTTTAGTCTTTGTTTCTTTCGCTCTTGAAGCATGTGGAGTCCATGACTCAGCTCTTCCTGGCCTCCCTCTCCCCTGCATCTAGGTAAAGAAGATAAAAAGAAAAGGAAGAATTGAAGGATGATGAAAGAATTGGGCACGTTAGAAGGCCCTGTGTGGATGCCAGCTGCATTCTGAGTAGACACTTCAGGACAGGAATATCTTGGGTCAGAGGAGCTACTTCCCCAGTAGTGGTTTCCACTTCATGGAGTCTGTTCCTATCCTTCCCAGCTCTCTCAAAGGCCAGGCTTGAATGCAGTGTGTCCATTCCCTTCCAAGCCATGCTCTGGTCCTGTTTGCAGTAGAAGGGGCATCAGGAATCTCTCTTGCCAGGAAGGGCAGCGTCTAGGGGGAACATGGAATAGGTTTCCAGGCCAGCCTCCTCAGCAGGATGCTCTTCCTGGGCCATGGCTCCATCCCTCTGGGAGTATCTTTCCTTCACCCATGGATCTTGCAGCCCTGTCCCTATAGCCTCTTTGGTAGGCCACTGGATCTCTGACAAGGGCTGCGCGGGGCCTCTCTCCTTGGGAACTGTGTGCAGCTCTGAGACAGATCTTGAGGAAGGGGGATACCACCCTGAGCAAACTAGAGCCATTATCGCCAGCATTTTGGTAAGGCCTTGCTTGGAATTACCTCTTTTTCCCTGTGTCTTTCCCCCCATAGTACTGGGACGTGAAATAGCTCCAGTCTAATGTGGAGGAATAGTTTGTTTGTCCCCTAGTACCAGGGTAGCTTTGAGATGTGCAGGGAGGTTCTAACCAGGGGGGCTTTATGGGATTTTTTTT